TGGCACCACGCCGCCCAGGCAAAATGAAGCTGTTTTGACCTTTAAATAAACATGACGAGTCAGCGGTGACGTATAATGAATGCTACTTATATGCCAAAGCGACTTATATGTTTTTTTCCTCTTCATGACGCTTTTTTTATTGAGGCGACTTATTCGCCAGAAAATGCAGTATATATTTCATCAAAAGTTGTTATATTAAACATTTCAAACGAAGTTACTACCTTGTAAACACAATTAGCATTTGAAAACCTATTTCTTTAGCAAATAATATTGTACTTTATCACTGCATTATAAGCATCTAGAACTAATATTATATCCTAAAGAAATAGGTTTACAAATGCTTTTAGTGCTTACAAGGTAGTAACTTAATATGAAATGTTTAATATAACAACTCTAGATGAAATATATAGGTGAACAGTTTTGGCTCTGTCACCCTTAATTAATGCATAATAAACAATTATTAATGATTTATAAAGTGTTTATAGAATAATTACTAACGTATCTATAAACTATTTATTAGCATCTATAAGGGGAGCCTTATTGTAAAGTGGTGCCGTATTTTACTTGTCATGATGACAGGGACTGCACGCCACTGGCTCAAATGCACTTGGAATACCATCAGAAACTTTTGATTGCTGCTAGAACAGATGACCTGACTGAACTTTGTTGGATCTTTTACCTGGATTATTGAGCATGAACTTTGATGTTTTGAACCACTTTGGCTATGGCTGCCTCAGAGGAGTCGACGGGGGACAGGGCGGGCCCCAGAAACCATCTTATCACCATAAAACTGGTTGGTCCACTAAGTGAGTATGCTGCTTGTGGGACACAGTTTGTTGTGACTCCTCGGACTGATGAAGTCCTTTGGATGAAGGACGAAACATCTCAACAACAAAAAAAAGAAACCGTCCAGATGACCTGACTGAACTTTGTTGGATGTTTTACCTGGATTATTGAGCATGAACTTTGATGCTGCTAGAACAGTTTGACTAACACTCGGATGAGTCCCGATGTAATTCATTGCACCACTGAATTGCTTATAAACGCAGTCAGCTGCTGCTGGACCTTTCTGGATTTGAGAAGTCGTCTGGTTAGCATCTTTTTTTATTATTTTTTTACAAGATTCACATGCCGCCAAGAACAACAGGAGCCAAGGTCAAGAACCATATCCATGGACAAGTGTTGCAGCCCAAGAAACCTCTGATTGTTGAAATGCTACTTTGCTATTGAAAACATTGGTTACGTACTGTAACCCCAGATTCTATGAGTATAGGCTTCGCCCTTTAAGGCTATCGCTAGTGGGTTTGCTGTGCGCAAAGGGGATAAGCCCACTAACGATAGCCTTAAAGGGGGAAGCCTATACAAAATAGAACGCAACATTCTGCAGCATTTCATTGATTCAAGGTTCTTTATTGTCATTCACATAGCATGTGATACATGAGGTGGAACAAAATTGTGTACACAGGGTTCCAGTTACATCCAACAATAGCAAAAATATAAAGTGTAAAAAGAAACAGTAAATAAAGATCTAAGATATAAACTAAGATATACGCTAAACAAATGCCCAACGGTACGCTAAAAGACCTAAGATATGCACTAGTCACTAATAGTGCAAAACAATACATCAAACATTTTCTAAACTATCAGGGAGCATTCTTGCAGCAACCTTGGTGCGCTCGGGGCATTTGTGTTTCAGTCTATGTATTCAAGCTACAATCTGTTTGATTCCTTGTGAGACTGGGGCTTTAGAATCAGAACTCTGTGGGATTCTGGTTTGATTAAACAGTCCGTGAGCTACACACCTGTACTCATCAACCTCACCCACAAAAACACCCAGTTCAGACCATTTTAAGGTTGTTTCTCATTAGTTATAAGGAGACACAAAGCTCCAGCTTCAGATGATTAACTCGACTGAACTCACTTTATTTGTGGACCCCCTTCAGCAGAGAGAATCTTATCTGGTGTCCCTTCACTGTCGAGATAAACAGTTCAGTCAGACAATTAAATTGTATCCACTGTGATTGAATCTGACAGCTGTTCGTTCTGGTTGGACTGTGTGCTGATAGCAGCTGCTCAAACAGGCAGGGCTGTTAATAAAAGCGTCTTAGATTGAGTAAACACTTCCATGGAAAATGTTTTCTGGGTTAAGAAATTTGAAAAATCAAAATTAAAGGCCCTAAACGAAACACTCCCTGAAGGACTACGGCACTTTCCATGAAAAGAGTTCTTATGGGAAGCTATCGAGTTGTAGCTATTTAGACAATTTTTTAAAAATGACATTTTGCGCAGTGTCGCGAATCCCTCAAACACGTGTTGGGGATGACTCACGGCTACTACCACACCAAATTTTAGCTCTACATCGAAAACACTGACTGAATTAAATCCACCTTCGTCTTCAGTTGACTGTGGCAATGATGATCAGTTGTAAATCTATATCCAATGATTGCTCTCTGAAAGTATCATTAGAATCCAGTCAGAGGCTCAAGAGATATTTTGCTGACAGAGCTGACTCCAATCAGTTAAATGACCAAAAATGAAGATTTTTCATCATCACCTTGGAGCATGAGGGAGACTGTGAATATCAAACCCTTTTTATAAACAGCTACAAAAATGACAGTTACAGACTTTTTTTTTTTTAGTTTGCTAACTAATTAGCTGTGGCGGCCATCTTGAACTGTAATAACTCAATGTGTGTATTAGTTGCAAATGTGCATTTCAGTTTTATTAAAAACCACCCAGTGATTCATGACATTTTACTAACACAGCTGCACTTTTCAGTGACGAGCAATAAAAAAAATTAAAAAAAAAACTTTTAGAGAAATAAAATCATCTGTGCTTGTTGAGAATGTGAATGATTGATGATGCATCTGTCAGAGCTGCTGTAGGTTGCATTAAAAGACACAAACAGCTGGTAATTGTTTTATTCACTCGTTTGCACAGATCCTCAGACACACAGGTCAAAACTAAATCTCAGCCTCTTGATCCAGTGTCTGCATCAGCGAGCAGAAACTGCTTCAAGTCAGACATTCATGAAAACGTTTCTTGTCAATAAATACACACTTCAAATCAGCTCCAGTCACATTTAGTAGATATTGCATGTTTCAGCATAGCTGCATTAACCATTTATTAGCTAATCTTGCGATGCTAAACCGATCCCATATTTAACAGTCACAGACTCCAATAAATAAATATTTCAATACATAAAAACACAATCTCCTCAATCAACGTCTCAGTTTAGACACCTGCACGTGAACAGGTGAGTTACATTCAACAAACTCGAAGTTTTAAAGCAGCTGGGGCTTCCTACTCTCCAACAACCTTTTAGGCTTTTAATTTTTTATTTACACACAAATAAAAAGTGCTTTAATTGATGTAAATTTTGACTTTAGGTCAATCTTCGGTGCTCTTCTAGGGTCACAGATTGTCCATCGTTATGACATTAAGTGCTCAGAGGGGAACAGACACATGCCTGCTTTTAGCAGAGAAAATAGTTTCTGTACCAAAACACTATTTAAATAAAAATATTAATTTAATAATAGGCACACGCTCAGAGAAAGCAGATGTTTTTTTTTTTACCAGTAACTCTTCCATCTGTGCAGCTGGTTCAGGATGTGCACGGAGTAAAGCTCTGTTTTATACATAAACTACGTCTGGACAAACAAATATGCAATTATCACGTTTCTGGAAACATCACATTCAAACTCCCTGGTTTCTCTTGGGAAAACAAGGAATATAATTATTAGAATACAGCCAAACAATTGTTGAGACACTTCACATTTCTAATCTCGCCGACCAAACCTCCCGTTTTTCCAAGTTTTTATTTTTGTTGAAACGTTTTTAAATTTCCTTGACTCATTTTGTAAACTATATCATGGTAAATCAGTAGTACTAGAACAAAAAATGTGTAGTTTTCACAATTTTAACAAAACGTATCCCAACAGAAGGCTTTTTGTAATAGAATAATGTCTAATAGTCGACAGGATTCTTCAGTAAGAGTTTGTCCTGGCCTGAATTAAAAAAAACAAATTTGAACCGTGAAAATAAACTTATAAAAAATAAAAGGAAAAGAACTACATCACAAGCAGTAATATTCAGAGTGAAACATATAGACTGCCTTGAATACAGCAATATCAGGGGTTCCCAACCCTGATCCTTGAGGAACACCATCCGCATGTTTTAGTAGTTTCTGTTCCGATACACCTGATTTGAATGAAAAGATGATTAACAGGCTTCTGCAGAACACGAGGAAGTAATTAGCTCACTGAATCAGGTGTGGCAGAGCAGGGAAATGACTAAAACATGCAGGATGGTGTTCCTCAAGGCCCAGGTTTGGGAACCCTACTAAACTCTTAAATTGCTTGGTAGTACACAACAAAACAAACGTCTAAAGCACTGATAAAAAGATCCTTCCATTCACTCACTGAAGAGCCCAGATTGATTTCATCTCCTGGAAGAACAAGCAGCTCCTCAGAGAGGATGATAAAAACTACAGTAACGTTTGGTTTTGGTTTGATAGCAGACAAATTGAGAAGATTTGCACATTTATAGTTTGCTACATTGTTTCCCTGTCCACTCTTCAGATACAGGATCCAAATGCATTATACTTGTAAATAAGGCAGGAAAATGTTCTTAACATACACACAAAAAGAAGAAACAACTCACACCCGTGGTATATAGAGATAAATTGCACATTTCCACATAATGATATATATAAATATATAAAAGTCGTAACTTTCCAGTGTCTGCACTGTTCCCAGTGACACAATCTTGAGGCTCAGACTGGACGGATGTTTCACATTAAATATTTAAGAAAATAAAAGTTACTTGTACAAGCTTTCACAAGCCTCTCAAATTCATCCCTCTTTTCTCATGAAAGATAACGCGTTTACAGATTTACATTTTTTTACAAGCAGACATAAAATATTAAAATAAGTACACCTCTTCTCTCATGAGAGTAAAAAGCAGTGCTTATTTATAAATAAGGGACTTCCTGACTCAGATTTGGGAATGGTTCAGTGATATCAGCTCTGAGTCTCATGCATGTTTAAAGTGCTGAGGTTGAGGGGGAGACCTCTGAGCTGTCACAGGCTGGAGGGCTGCGTCTGCTGCTGGATCTGCGCGTGGCGGCTAGGCTGAGCTGGCTCGCAGTCACCCTGCTCCACCTCCCGAGCGTACATGAGGACGAGTGCGACCGTTGCGAACGTGGCTGCGTTCACAGGAAAGGCTCGTAGCAGCGTGGAGGTGAGGCCTCGCGTGAACACCATATACCCCTCTCTCCTGACGCTCTGCCGCACGCAGTCTGCGATGCTGCTGTACTTGTTGACTCCGCCCACCCCGTCAGCCTGGAACCGCGATTTGATCACGTCCACAGGATAGGTGGAGAGCCACGAGGCGATGCCAGCCATGCCTCCGGCAAACAGCAGTTTGGGGATCATGTAGCGGTCGTCAGGCTCGCAGCCCAGGCTGCGCGTCAGCACGTCGTAGGCCAAGAAATACACTCCGAAGCCAGGAGTTTCACGGATCAGCGTAGTGACCATGCCTCTGTTCACACCCCGCACACCCTCCCGTTTGTAGATGCGCACCAAACAGTCCAGCGAGTTTTTATACAGCTTCCTAGCGGACTTCTTCTTCTCCCCAGTACCCTGCATTTGCATGCGGGTTTTGGCCAGCTCCATGGGGCAGCAGATGACACACTGGATGGAGCCTGCAGCTGCACCAGCAAGGAAATGGTTTGTGACGGAGTCTTGTCCGAGCAGGCGCATCGTGTTTCCTTGTACACCAAACACTATAGCATTGATGAATGTGAGGCCCATCATGGGCGAGCCAATGCCTTTATATAAACCAAATACCTGCGAGAAGGACAGACCAGGCATCACATAACATCAGAAGAGCTTTAAAAAAAAGCTTATTTTTTCATCAAGCCAGCAAATGCCTGCCTTTATTTTTGTATCTAGACACAGAAATTCAATAACCCAACTGAAACTGTCCATTTATTTAACTTGTTGACACCAATGAATAAAACTTATTTGTTTACATATTTGCATTGATTTTGCACCCATTATTTATAAAGTTGCCCAATGTGGAGCTTCTAGAATCTGCAAGTGAGCTGCTATAAATAATTACAAATGTGTTTAAAAATGTATATTCATGGTCATTTTTTTTTTTTTTTAGGGAAAAATTCTGCAGTTCAGACAGTAAAATATTATCCATCAACAAAATGTTGGCTAAAGGCAATAAAAACTTGCTGTTTTTTTCTGTAACTATAGGAACATTTAGTCAGCATGCTTTGTCAGGACCCACTGAAAAAAAACGTGAAAGAATCTGAGATTGTAAAAAATGTCTGTCCTTATAACATAAATATTGCTACTTAGTAATTACTGCAAGTTTAACAACAGCAAAAATCTATAGACATTAAATGTCAGTCATATAAGTTCTGAGTGAGTCAGACATTTATTGTGTGAATGTTTATGAAGCATTCACTCTGTGATCCATTTTTCTTTCGTAAATTTTTCTTGCATCGTTCTTGTTCCACAATTTTTGTGCTATTTCAACAAATCATAAATCAAAACGTTCAGCTCTTTCAGGACAATCCTGCTATGACTGTGGTATTGGTGCAACTTTAGCTTTTTGAAATGTTTAGCCTTTTCTGCCATTTTTGTTCCTCATAGAAAATGAATTGAGCTTATTTTAAATCCTTCACATCTTTAGATCCGTTTACAACCTTTTACTGCTCCTTTCACATTTTGTTCTGCTTCGGCTACATTCAGCTAATTTAAGCTGTTTTGTGCTCTTTTCAGATTCTTTCTAACTAAAACATTTTTGTGTTTCTCCTAACTTCTTTCTGCTAATTTCAGCTTGTTATCCTCCTTTCAGCTTATTTCTGCAAGTTTCAGCTTTTTTTTGGTGCTATTTCAGCTACTATTTATTTATTTATTTATTTACTTACTACTTAACAGATGGCTTTAAACATCTGTTAAGTTCCTGGCAAGAACCAATGCAGACATGTTCCTGTTTTTAGTTTTCTACACCGCCTTATAATCTAGCTGTTTTTTTCGCTACTTTTTCCTTTTCGACTGTTCTTTTGGTTGCCATTTTATTTTAATTGGTAAAAAAACAAACAAACAAACAAAAAAAAACAAACAAAAAAGCCAAAAAAGATCTTTATGCCTCTTTTGTGATGGTCTATTGTTGTTGTTGTTGTTGTTGTCCACTGTGGTCATCACTCTTTGTTAAATAAATCAGGTCTCTCTTGTAAATGAGTCCCTGAGGTTCAATGGGATTAACCTGTCTAAATAAAGGTTGAGTTAAATTTTTTTTTTAGCTGATTTTATGCTAATTTTAACCTTTTCAGCTAATTCCACTTTTGTTGCACTCATTTCAACATTTTTCAGCTTAATTCAGCAAAAATGTGCTCTCCCCACTTCCTTCAGGTAATTTCAGCTTCTTTCTGCAATTTTTAGCTACTTTTCAGATGTTTTTATGCTAATTTCAGCTTTTTCATGATATTTCCACTGTTTTATGCTAATTTCTGCTTCTTTCAGCCTAATTGGGCAAACGTGCTCTTTCTGCTTTCTTATGCTAATTTAAGCTTGTGCTACCTTTCAGCTAGCTTTTTAGTTGTTTTCAGATAAATTCAAGTTTTTATGGTAATTTCTGCTACTTTCAGCCTAATTAAATTATTTCTGCTAATTTCAGCTTGTTATGCTCCCTTCAGCTTACTTCTGCTGGTTTCAGTTATTTCAGCCACTATTTAGCTGTTTTATGCTAATTTTAGCCTTTTCAGATGATTACACATTTTTTCTACATATTTCAACTTTTGTGTTCATTCTGCTTTCTATTGCCCATTTCTACATTTCCTACTGTTTCAGCATGTTTTTTTTTTCTAATTTCAGCTGATTTTCATCAAGTTCTTCCACAATAAGCATTCACACTGCATTGTCGCAGGAAATGCAGTTTCTCTAGTTTCAATTAGACGTGTCCCTCAATTAATTTTAACATACAGTAATTTACAACATTAAAAACTTACTTCCAGTAACCCCTCCACTCTGACTTAACTGCTTTCCTATTCTTTCTATTAACGATCAATCTTTTTATCAATACTACTGCAGGGCTGGACTAGACAAGGACAAATAACACAAACTAGTACAATTTGTCTGTTGTTTAGTTCATGAAGGAAAAATAAATATATATTTTTAGTGAATTGAACTCACCGACTCCTGTCGTATGATGGACTGGAAACAGTGAAAGGTTCCACGATAGAGAGGCTTATCGACACTCTGAACCTGCAGCCTCACCTGGTAGAAAAGAATGTTTACATGTTTATGTCATGAATATATTTTTAAATAGTTCTCAAATTATCCACAATGCTCACAATCAGTTCTAGAAACATGATCAAAACATAAAACTGTGAACATTTAGGCACTATATAGTCTCTAATAAAGGCTAAGTAGTATTTGTTTTTTACTGTAACTTTACATAAATGTGTGCAGAGATAAAAGAAAACTCACAATAAACTGACTTTGGCACTGCTCACCTTCACTGTATCGAACGGATGTCCTACCAAGACTCCAGCGGCACCTGGGGACAATTACAAAAACAGCTATTTGATTTTTTTTTTAATGTAAAATGCAATATATTAAAAAGCGAATATGTTAAGGAAGTAAAAACAGTTTTATAAAGTGTATAGTACAAGGAAACCAGGTGAATTCAGTGGCAGCTTCAGACAAGCTGAATAGCATATTGTAACTTCACTGTCAGAGCTGCTGTTCACTTTTCTTATTATATTTATAACACAACAAATTTTAATAAACGTATTAGGGTACTTTTACTATAATAAATGTAGCTATACGTTTCTGGAGTTGGCTCTGCATTACTCAGAACCAACAATGGTGGGCTTCAACACCCTATAAAATCGTCCTATAACATTCCTTTGAATGTTATGCAACCTGGGCTTAAGCAACACATGCCTGTGTTGTAATTCCCATTTGTGCTTCATGCATTAGTCCATGTTGAAATAATTCAAGTGTGGCTTTTACATAGGACTAGAGAAAAAAAAAAAGGATTCTAATTAATTTCCATTTAAAAGCTGGTTCCTTCAGCAGCTACATGCAGCTGTAATCCCATCTGTCTGCCGAGTTGTTTCCCTGGGAGTATTGAGTGTGATGAGGAGCGGTGATTATAAAACCATGTTCCCACAGCTGACTATTCTTTACCCTTTCAGAAACTGTACAAAACGTGTTTATAATGCTGCATTATAAGCTAAATAATTTAAATGAAAGTCATCTTAATTTAGTTTTACAGCATCACTATAATTGCAATATGCTCTGAGATTAAGTCTTGGGAAAAATCACATCAAGTAATAATGTGGTACAACTGCACTATAAGTACCTAATATAATTCCAGGAAAAAGGCAACTCTGCTCTCTGTACTTTCCCTCAGAGTCGTAAAACACAATACCATATGGCACCAAGGTAAATCAGACGTTTTGCAATACAGTCACTACTATGACAGCTATGCTGAATACAACCACAAGTGTTCAAAATCATGGTTGTCATTTGCATCAGAGTTCAATTAAGTAGTTTTATTTGACCGATATATAATAAAGGTTTAGACTGCTTGTTGGTTAAAAAAAAAAAATAGAAAGCATTACATACTATATAACATCATAAATAAAAGATTGGGAAAAAGACTTGTAAATTACACTCCTTCGTGTCCCACAGTACACAAACACAGCAAGCTGATCCCACATAAGCACCTGTTTTGTCTCATGACCAGTTTGTAAAAAAAAAAAAAAAAAAAAAGGCCCATCAGAATTGTGTCTCTGTAATGTAATCTGTGAATAGAAGCTGGTATATTTAACAAGTTGAAGTACAAACCAGGGGAGAGCTGAGAAAACCCAAGCACAAGTTAAGGAAGGATGTCAAACATAGCTGGAGAACTCCTCAGTGTGCATACACCTGATATTCTTGTCTATATTTAAACACACGACCCCAGAAAAGCACCAAGCAGGAAGTAGATCAGTTTTAAATTCGGCAGTGTATAGGTTTCCTAAAAAGCACAGAGTCCATCACGTCAGGTACTGTAAATAAAGAAGGCATGGGATTGGTCTGGAAGGGGGTGTGCAGTGATTCACGCTGCCTGTGTACAACCCACCCCAGCTGAAACCACGGGTTGAACTTCTGTTTACTTTCAACTACAGAAACAAACAAGTAATCAGAAGCACACACGGGCTTCTTTTGATTAAATAGGCCTTATAACATACTGTAATAACACTGCAGATTCAGACTAATTCTACTAAGTTTAATTAACACTAAATGCTATTGCTTAATATGTATAGGATTGTATTTAAAGTTAATAGTTTAAAAACACAGCAGATTAGAAAACAAAGACAGCCGTTAAAATAGTTTACTGATAGCGTCTGACTTAATGGAAACTATCCTTATCCAGGATACCTAATAGCTGCTGATACAGTTTCCAGCTGCAACAACTCGCTTACCTCCGATGCATCCTGCAATAAAATCCATCACCGCACTTCAATGGCACCTTGCTGAGGGAGCTATTATCTAATGGGAATGGGGAAAGCAGCTAAAAGCTATTTGAAACGATTTTGTAGCCTTTTTTCTTTTAATCAAAAGCCGATGAATTCGCCGGTGACCTGACAGGAACTGTCCTCTCTCCGTTTAATCCAGCTAATGGACCAACGCTAGCTGTCAGTTAGCAACTTGTTAGCTGAGAAAACCGGCTAGCTAGTTTTTTAATTTTCCTCTAATCCGCAAATGTTAAAACGCGTTGTTTCTTTGGCCGCGTGTTTTCTGTTGAATCCCTTTTGTCAGCTATTTGTTCCAATGGAAGCCCTTTCTTAACCTACAAGCCCTTAATTAACCGCTGTGCTGCTTTCAGTCTATGCATAGTCTGCCGGGGAGCCGACGTCACCGGAAATGACTTCAAAAAGGGGTGGGTTTGACTGCAAAGTCTTCGGGTTCTGTCCAATCAGAGCGAAGAAACAACCTTGCTCGAGGCGTTATACTCGTCATTCATTGGATGTTATGGGGTGTAATGCGGAGATGGGTCCGCGCCATGTGCGATTTAAATAAAATGTTTGCGAATCTAGCCCCCACAAGGTGTTGTCAATAAAATAATTTGTTTAGCAAGCTTATAGACAACAGTTAATAATAATAATTGTATAAACGATAGTTTTAAGGTCAATTCGATCAGTACTTTAAAAAAACGATGGTACTCTTCACATTTCCGTGCATAAAACAACTCGTTTTTAGTTACCTGATTATGTAAACCAGAAAGTCTGGTCAGACCTTCCAGCACATGGTCTGAGTAGGCTCAAACCACCTCTCCTTTGCCACTTTCGTCAAACATACACAACACAAACTTAATCTTAACATTTTAACGCACTCACGCTCAGCACGTAACGAGTAACTTGGATGAAAATACGCCGGTTAAAGAGACGGTACGACATGTCGTAATTCCTTATCTGGCAACCCCAAAACGGCGCCGCAGTCGGCTATTTCCGTCACGATCCAACTGTCATGTAACAACAACACAGCGAAGGTAACGAGGAACAGCGTGTCCACGTCTAACATGCATCGGTTTGTCAAACAACGTACAAGATGCACACAATCGATTTCTTGTCTGGATCAGTTGCAGGTCAAGGTTAAATTACTTTTTTTGTGTGTGTTTGTCAGAGTCTGAATGCTGTAGCAGCTAAAAAGCTAGTGTGATCACAGTGTGGCACATCTGCGAATGCTAGATTATGTTTGTATTTCACTGCTGTGTGTTTTGATATGGTGTTTTGAACAGCTTCTCTACACGATCACTAAAATAGATTTCAATAAAGCAAAAGTACTAAAACTAAATGACATTTTGGATTACAATAAAAATGTTCCATAACAAAACATCTGCTCTCTACCTGTCGGCCACCGTAGCTCTCTACTCCCACAACGTTTCATAGTACTTGCCTGAACTTTACCTGGTGCAACAATATTAATTGTTAATTATTGTCCCACATAAGGAAAAACATTTTTCCTGAAAAGACTTTCAGTGCTTCTCAAAAATAGTTTCAAACATTTTTCTTGAGCCAAAAACCAAAATATTAAGTGGATTCTGCTTGATTATTTATAATTGAGGTGATATTCAGATTGTGTGGAAGAGGAAAGCTTTGGACAGACCTGCTTTTTGTTATAATAAATAAAATAAAAGTCCATGGCTGACCATCCCTCTCCTTGATGCTCTCTTTTCTCTGTAAACAGGGGCATGTGGAGTTGCTGTGGGTTACCCCCTGGACACTGTGAAGGTACAGTCTGAAAACTACAGGCCATGTTTGCACATGAGTGAAAGATTTTTATTTAATATTCCTGATCTTTTCAGGTCCGAATCCAAACACAGAGACATTTCACTGGAGTGTACCAGTGCGCAGTGGAGACATTGTCAAAAGAAGGGGTAAGTCTGATTAATACTCGGTCAGCACTTTACTCCACAATGGCTCCACAGTAACATTGTTAATATTTATTTAATTACGTTAGTGTTTTTAGATCAATTATCTTGCAAGGACACTTTTATAGTCATGGTTTTATGAAAACAAAACAGGAAAAAACAAATTTTAACTTCCTCACAGTCACCCGTTGTACTTTTGTTAATGAATCATCAAAATCATTAAATAGTAAAACAATTAGGCACAAGTTGTATTAAAGTGAAAAGTCTTACAATAATACAATATAATGTGCTGTATCATTTCTAGTTATCAATTAATGCAAAAACAGGACATAATTTTGATTAATATTAAAGTCAGCACGGTTTACAATAAAATAGCCTCAATCCTGGTTAATTAAAACGTCCTTTGTCACTTCTTGGATTTAACCATCCCAGCTTAATAAAGAAAAATAATCAGCTAGACTCTACTGTTTTTTAGAATGAAATTATTAATATCGGTGTGACGATGAGGATGATACTGATGATGTACGTTTCTGACAGGTATTCTCCAAATGATTATTTGAAGTTTTAAAGGTTAAAAGTTGTTCTTTAAGCTGTTCAGTTAATGGATGATTGGATGAGCTTTCTCACTCCAAAACTAAAAGGTGAAAAAGATCCAACATTTTAAATTGTTCAGATTAGAAGTGAATAAAAATAATCCAGTTGCCTTTGATAAAATGTGCAAGGATTACATGAGTCTGGATGGGTTATAAAACAGGGTTCACAGGGACTCTGCAGGGAAAACCTGAAAAATGACTCACATTATTCAGACAGGAAAAAAAACTCAGGTAATTTGAGATGAACACCAAAAATCAGAGAAATGTCAGGGAATTTGAACACTGATCTGCTGATTGATTAGAAGATAATCAAAGATTTTGACCTATGTATTAATGCTAGTATTCTAGTATCACTGAGTCCATGTTCTGCTTCTGCAGAGTACACAGTACATGTATCCTTTCTGATTAGCTATGTTAGCTTTTTAGTATCTTATGTTCTACAATTATTATTATTCGGATTGTTTGCTATTTACACGTACCATAGGCCACAGTAAATCCTTTGCTCGCCACCTAAGATGCTAAGTTCTGCGCATTTCATGTGACTGAAATGTCTCCTAGGACTTCAGGATTGATTCAAGGAATTTTGTTTTCATGAAATGCTGGAAACCCTGAATAATCAAGACCACAATGTTGTTCTGGTTAACAAATGAAACTATCCATCCATCTTTCTTATCCGCTTTTCTGTTCAGTGCCACTACTTCCTCAGACAAAAATTAATCAGAATGCTTGTTCTCCTTTTTTTCTTTATGCACTAAGAATCAGTTTTTTTGTTTTGTTTTTTTTATTAACTTAAACCTACTTAAATGTTAATTTAATTCAATTCAGTTTATTTATGTATCGCCAAGTCACAACAGAAGTCATGTCAGGGCACTGAACAGAAACATTCATATGTTTATTTATTTATTTATATATATATATATATATATATATATATATATATATATATAAA